TTCCCCACAACAACAACCCTGTGAGGTGAGTTGGGCTGAGAGAGAGTGACTGGCCCAAAGTCACCCCGCCGGTTTTCATGCCTAAGGTGGGATTAGAACTCAGTCTTCTGGTTTCTAGCCTGGAGCCTTACCCACTAGACCAAACTGGCTCTAGTGATTGGGTGAAGATGGGATTTTTGTTTTGCTAGGTTTCTCATTGTGGCCTTTTTTTTTGGATGGAGCATCAGCCATGCTTCAGCTCTACTCACGTTAAGCTACTCATTTGTAATTGCACTAATTGACATGAGGGCAACTTCTTCTTTTCCATATTCTTCACACTTGGAGTTTAGACTTGGGTAAATGTTGCAACCACGTATAAACAGTTCCTACTTACTTAAGTTAGAAAGGCTCATGTAGTAGTCTTGTCCACATTGCTGTAATACAACCATTTGACCAATGGGAGTTCTAGGCATTGTAATTTTCAGGTACTCACATATTGGGAATACCAGCTTCATGAAAGTCAATGTAATATATTCTCTCTCACATATCGCCCATTGTTAAAAGTTGGTCATATGGTTCTGAGACAGAAGAGTTGGCATTACTTATAATTTATAGGCAAGTGCAGCAGCGCTGAAAGTGTTGTGTGGCTTCTAGTTCTGATGAATAACTGTGTTGTGTTGCTTGATATATTAAGGAAGACTGTACAGTTGAGTTAAGCATAATGACACTGGAATGCAATGGCATTTTCCACTTTAGGTGGAGAGGGGAACCAATGGCAAAGTATGAAGAGGAGGATGGTGAAGGGGAAAATTGGCCCTGGCTGTATTCAGCTAATTGGCTGGTTCTTTTTTGTAGACTTCGCCCCATAGAATCTGAACAACGGGCTCACATCTGGGGGCTTTTTCAGAGCCTGCTACAGACTTATAACCAGCTGCGTGAGGAAGACCAGAGCTTTGCTGTAGAGGTAAAGCAGAGTGGGTTTGTTGAAATGCATGTGAGATGCATCATTTCAAGAATGGAGGTAGCAAGCCAGAATATGTGAGTGTCCCCTGTAAGAAGTAAGCATAACTTCAGGGTAAAGCAGCTACTGGCCATTATAGCTGGGGGTTATTGGAGCTACAGACCAATATGTTGAGAAGACACCAGAATGGGGAAGGGGGGTAGTGGTGAGGGTTTTCACACTGTTTCATTAAATTGGGCTTGGGATGAAGGAATTATCCTAAATTTGTTTAGAGGAATAGAAATGTACTTTTGAAGGACTATGAGCCCCAAAGGTGGGAGTAGAGAGGCTTTTGAAATCTAAATGCCCATCTTTCTCAGGCTGTAGAGCGCCTGATCCACCCACAGCTGTGTGAACAGTGTATTGAGTTCTTGGAGCGCCAAGTTGTACAGTACATCAATGGCAACACTGAACGTGCTGGACATGAAGTAGTGCATGCCTTCCTGCTCATACACACCAAACTGCTTGCCTTTTACTCCAGGTAAAACCCCAGTTCTCCTCAGTCATTTTCCCCCTAATGCAGGTGCCACTCTTCCCAACAATTTACAAAGTTCCTCCTTTGACACTTCCCACTATTTGGCCCTCCAGTTTGCTTTCCTCTGTCCCTTTGGAAAGTCAGTATGTGGCTTTTCTAACAGTGACATTCTTTTTCTCTGTGGCACTTTGTATCCAGCCGGAATGCCAGCTCTCTGCGGCCAGCTGACTTGCTCACTCTCCTCCTGATTGTGCAAGATCTATATCCCAGCACTTCTAAGGACCAGCCTGTTCCTGAAGCACTGGCCCAGGTAGACAAATAACTATTTCATATAAGGGGAGTTATACTTGCATAAGAATCTCTCTGCCTATCTCCCTCTGTTTGGGAATCCCTTTGACAACTGCTTTGGGATGGAATGTCTAAGTAGGACTAGGTAGAAACAGGATTCTGTGATAGGGATCTTGAACTGAGAACTTTTATTTATTTAAATATCTATGTGCTAGAGATATAGATACATTCCACCTTTTCTCCAAAGTTCAAGGCAGCATACATAAGCACTCCCTTCTCCAGTTTTTCTCCTACAACAAAAGGTATTAGGCTGCAAAATAGTGACTGACTAAAAGTCATCTGGTGAGCTTTTTTGGCTGAGAATGAACTTAAATCAGGCTCTCTTTGGTTGTAGTATCTTAATTACTAAATAATATTGGTTGTGTGAGATCTGTACAGATGCCTGAATGGTTGAGCCTCTTTCTTGAATGACATTGTTAGTTAGTGGTTAGACTGCTAAACTAGAATTCAGAAGACTGGTTGAAATCCTCATCAGTTGTAAACTTCACTGAGTGATATACTCACTGAACCTATCTAAAATGAAGGTTGAAAGGTGTAATCAATATATGTTATCCTACTCTCTTTTAAAAGAAGAATGGGATAAACATGTCACAATTTCTGTTTACAGGGTCAGATCCTGTAAATGCTTATTTTCCAGTGTTATTCTACTATTTTAATTTCCCACAGTGCTAAAGCATTAAGTGATGACTAGGTACTGTGATAAATTAAACAGTGGAAAATAGCTCTTTATAGTGGGACTTGGTGCTGATGCCAAACCTGTTTGTTCAGCCTGGAGAGGGAGAACAACATCTTCAGAGGCCTCAAAGCAGTGAGAGTATTCCAGTGAACAGTCCCTTTCACCACAGCACTTCTCAAGAACAGGTGAGCACAGGCTGGTCTTTGGTATAAACTTTCAGATACCTAATGTGGCTTGGATCTGGACACTGAGTGTGGACTGGACTTCAAAAGTTTGAATAGATAGAAGACAAGAAAGCTGCTCTGAGGTATGGGACAAGCTGTATGGGATCCATCCTTTGCCAGGACTGGTTAATCTTTGTTGCCCACTGTGAGAATTTCTTCTGGGCACATGGAAGGGAGCCATGCTGGGCTCTCACTGAGTCAGTTTCCTTCCACCCTCCCTCAGATAGCAGATGACCTCTCTATGCCTGAAGAGTTCTTCACCCCCAAGGCTTCCCCTAGCCAACAGAGTACAGGTGAGTTTGGGGTCAATTGTGGAGAACATTGAGAAGAGACTGTGGAGGATAAAAAGGGCATTCTGTTATGGATCTGAGGAGGACTCTTTCAGAAGTGGGTTGCATATTAATTGGCTGTAGTAAATGGCAGCTGCTATTACCTTGCTTGCTATCTTGCTTGCAAGGAACAGAGCTCTGCTACTATTGTTGCCTTTAAAAAAGCATATGCTGCAGCCAAAACACTTAGGGCAAAATGGGATAGGTATTGCCCCAGATGCTTGGATTGGACAGTGATGGTCAAAATCTCTTGTATTAGTTACTGTCTCTTCAACTTCTTTCCCATTCCTGGGGGTAAGGGTATTTGGGTGCTTATAAGGATCCATCAATCAGTTATTTTGCAGCTATTCCACCTTTTTCTTTAATGGATTTTTTGTGGAAAAAAAGAAAAGAAAATATATGAGAACACAGAGGCTCCAAGTGGAAGATGTTCATGTCTGAACGTGCCAGTAACATTCAGTATTTGAGGCAGGGGTGAGTACATAAGAAGGCTCTGTTTGGAAGCACGCTTAGTCTCTCTTCTTTTTCTGCTGTCTGAAGGAAGTGCCTGGACTGAGGGTGCAGACTCACAGAGTGAGGGAGAGGTAAGTGCTTGGTAAGTGGTAAGTGATTTCCTGGTACGTGCTTGGATTAGGGTTGGAAGCTTTATAATCAATCCCTGTTTTCTGTACTTTCACCTTTTTGGGATTTGCTGACTATTTCCCATGCTTTTCTCTAACCTATACCTATCTCATCACCAAATCAGAAATGACCTTAGGGTTCGCACCATCAACTCACTGCACTTCTGTGAGCAGAACCTCCAGCATTGTCCCCATATGAAGAAAAGAATAAAATGAAACTTCTCAAACTATATAAAACTCCACAAAAGATAAAAAGTAGCAACAAAAACTCATCAGTGGAAGATGAAAAGAGGCAAGGAACTCTTCTATAATGAATCAAAAGGCTCATGATAGAAGAGATAATGGTGGATTTTTTTACAGTAGCCTCCCCAGACTTGGTATTCCCCAGATGCATTAGGGTACAATCCCCATAATCTTCAACCAATATAGCTAATCCTCCTGGCTCGAGGATTTGGGGAGGCCTGTTCTATGATACAATACATGCTTCCGTTTTGTTAATATAGATGGGTAGTCTATCTATCCAGTAATAGGCATCCTCTGACCCAATTCTTTTTGGTCCTGGAAGGATCGCTTTGAACAAGTCATCCTAATTAAAAAAACTCTGGGCAAGTGTTCAGTTCAAACCTAGGCAACAGCAAGGACATCTATATATCTGTGTGAGGGAGAAGTGTGGGAAGGTAGCTTCCTAGAACTCACTTCTGCCTAATATGTGCCTCCCTGTGATCTGTTCCCCAGATGTTCCCTACCTGTTTCTTAAAATTGTCAGTAGTTGGAGCTATTGCTTTATTTTGCCATCACAAATGCTCTAGTTTAAAGGAACAACGGATTACCTTGGCACATCCTTAAATTGTTGTGAAACAGGTCTAGGGACATTTATCTGAGTAGGCTCTGCAGTTCACTTTATTCTAATTCCATGACACCTGCACATTTTCTTCCTAGGTGGCTGAGGATTTGCTGCATGTTTTAGTACCCCCAGTCTCAGAAACTACAAATCCACGGAGAATATTTCTGGATGTCAACTTGAAAGAAGGCTATTGTCCCATGATGCCCCACACAATGCACTGCGTTTCACTCTGGCCAGGCATCTTGCTTGTACTCCTCACTAAGGTGAGCAGAGTCCACTGACACTCATTTGATATCCACCCAGACTGGCTGTTTCTGAATGTCCACCCTGTTTGCCTTCTAGAACCCCAGTTCCCAGGTGGCCCTTTCTCTCTACCAATTGCTGGATGGACTCCTGATGATAGAGAAGAAATTGAAAGAGGGACAGGAGACCCGGCAACCTCTGCGTTCTCAGCCATTATTTTTGGAGCTCCGACATCGAATGGACAAGTTTGTCAAGAAGCTGAGTGGACAGGAGTCACAGGTGAAAATTAAGGTCATCTATACAGAAAATGGTGGTGGATGCTTTTGCTCCATATGAGGAGGGCTGGGGTAGTGTACTGACAATGAAATCTGGCCCTTCAGTGGTGCTAATGGGATAGAATTGAGCAGACCTTTGTTGTGGTTGAGTTCCCACTTAATGCTGTGGGAATGATAATGAGATATCCTAGATAAGAAAGGAGCTGGGAAAAAAAGGAACCAGTGTGTGCAACTTTTTTTTTGTATGTCTCTCAGTTGCAGAATACCTGGCAGGAATTAAAGAACAAAGTTTCCTCTAGAAGTGAGTCTGTGAGTTCCTTGGAGTGAGTATTAGTAGGAATTATCACATCTACTGATCGATATGCGCAAGTACATTCATCTATTCAAGCGGAATACATCTGTGGGATAGTTTAAATTTTGCATCTGTGAGCATTGAGAATAGACACCTTATTTAGAAGAATTAACAAGAAAAAAGATATTCAGAATTACAGCAAGAATTTAAAACTAAAATGTAGATGATAGAACAAGCAGAGATGGGCAACTTGTGGCTCTCAGAGCTCTGCCTGATTATGATTGCTAAAAACTGAAGGTACAGAAGACCATTTCCTGCCTTTCTGAGATGGGAAGCAGATGAAAACTGTAGTGTAAACTTTAAAAGAGGCATACTACAGTTGAAACAAAAGAAGGAATAGTCCCCTCAAGGTCCCTCATAAAATTTAAGAGGCCAGTACTTCAGCCAATACTTTTGTGCAGCTAAGAAAATATATAGAAAATGTATTCAAATATTAGGAAGAGGAAAGAAAGAGAGTTCCAACTGGATAATCAGTTTTCCTATGTTTTTGACATGCTCTTTATAAAAAGTAATAGTTGAAAAATGCAAACCCAAATCAAGAATGCCACTTAGAGTGAGAGATGTCCTATAAATGTATTGATCTTTATGTTGGTTGAGGCTTTTGCAGGCATTTTGCAATGTCCGGCGGCAGCTGTGTGCTGTATATCGGCGTCTCTTCCTTGGATCTTCAGGGGCCCAAGGCTTGCCTCAGAACTTGCTGGACGGGGTGCAGCAATTCACACAGTGAGTGAGAAGTAGCAGAAAGGTGAAATTGCAGCTGAGAGTCTGGTGGGTTGCAGGATCTATAAGGCGTATTTCTGACTCTGTTTGTCTTCCAAACTCTGCTCATTCCATGCAGTCCATCTTAAGCTGGTATATCTCTACTGCTGGACAACTTTTTGACCCTCTGCTCAGAATCATCTTTTCCCCAAATGCTAATGCTCAGTTTTCTTCCACTGTAAGAAGAAGAGATAGGTGAATTGAATACTGCCCTTTCTTCCTTTTGCCCAGGACAGGTTTGCCAAATAAGCACTGTTGCTCATGACTTGCATGCATAACAACATTAATCCTTTATTTAATTTTTCTCTCCACCTTGTGTTGTCAGGGACAAGCTCCAAGATTGGAAAGACTTCTTACTGGTGAAGAGCAAGCGTAATGTCACCATGGTGTCATATCCTTTGATGTTTAGCATATCCTCCCCATCTTTCCATTTTGACTGGGGATGCTGGAAGTCCTGTGGGGAAATAGAGAGGCTCTGAGAAAGGAGAGGGAAGCACTGGGCAAAATACTGTTTTGATGCAACTACTGAAGCAAATTTGGCAGGAAAAGAATTTCTTGGGGAAACAGCCTTGAAGACAAGTTCACTGGTTTCTTTTCCACTTTCACATGCACAAAACCAATTTAGTGCTTCCCTTGCTATAGACATGTGGCAGAACTGGAGTAGAAGAGCACTGTATTTGGCTGTTTTCTGAGTTTCTCAGATGTTTGGAACAGAGCCATAAAAACCATCATGCTGTTGAAGGATAACAGAAAAAAGCAAGAAAGCACCCATACTCCTAGACGAACATTAAACTCTAAATAAATTAAATGATAGCTCTGTTACTCATTTAATTTTGAGTTTTAAAAAATAGGGATTGGACTCTTGACTCCAAAAGTTCTATGAAGTGTCTAAATATTGTTGAACAGAGTGAAAGTTTAAGGCTACTGTTTGAGCTGGTCATGGCCAAAATGGAAAAGATGCCTACCTTTAACCAAGTTCTTAACTTGCTTTCATCTACATACTTGGAAAATTTCCCAGGGCTTGTACATTTCATCTATGTGGATCGCACAGTGGGACAAATGGTGGCTCCATCACTTGGCACATCAGAGGAATCTACTTCGGAGTTAGGCAAAGGACCTCTGCTTGACTTTATTAAGAAGAAGGTAATGATAGGTGATTGATGAGTATGTGTATAAATAACCAAAACCTGGGAGATTTTGAATTTGGGTACAGCAATTGAGTTTGAGGTTTGGGCTGACTTTAAGGCAACTTTTACCTTTCTTTCTCCACCTTTGGTCCACAGGTATGGTCACTGGTGGCTTTGGCTCGAAGCTACTTGCAGAAGGGCTACACTACACTGATGATCCGGGATGGAGACTATTATTGCACCTACTTCCTCTGGTTTGAGAATGAACTGGTAATTGTGGAGGAACCCGGAGCTGAGTAGAAAAGAGCAGGGGCAGTATGCTATTTTACAACTTTATATATAAAAGAGGTTGATGCAGAATCTAAAGAACCTCCTTTTGGAGTGTGGTGCAAATGATGTAAAGAGATTTGCTTTTGTATACCCAAATTGAGTTCACAATCCTTCCCCATTAAATCCACAACTGGCTACTCCTAGTTTCTTTATTTAATTGGTATAATTTATGGCCAGGGAGAGTCTCTTTTTCTATAGCTGGTGCTTAAACAACTGGGAATCAGAAACCCTTCCTGGTTTTTTGCAGATCTTCCAGATACCTACCAGTAGAGCCAGATTTACTCATCTTTGATGAAGTAGCATTTCCCAACCTAATATTTTTAATATGTGTGGGAATCCAACTCCCAAAATTCCTACCCAGCATCTGGAAGACAACCAGACTATGGAGAATAATGTGACCTAGAATGTTGGCTCAGGATATATTAAAAAAAACTGGATTAAGGTGCTCATTCAGCTTACTCTCCCAGAACTGCTCCTACTTTCCCAGTCTGCTTCACAAAGTTAATATCAGGCTAAACTGTTGCTGTGGGGATGAACAACTAATGTGGCACATAAATACTGATGACAGGAAGATCCTACAGGCTGATGACTTCAATCTTTCTGGAGAGCACTAGGATGGGGATGCCTGCCTTAGCCATGAGCTAAGAATGCATATGTCTCATTCAGTTCCAAACATCCTTTTCCTGACAATTTCTTTCTGCTTCGGTGTCTCTGCAGGGATACAAGCTGGAGGTTATGGAAGTGCCAGTGCTTTCTGATGATTCTGTTCCCATTGGGACACTGGCAGGTGATTATTACAGGTGAGCAAGGTTTCTAGCTCCATAAATACTGGTGGATGTAGAAGGGATTTGGGGATTGATTCAAGCTCTGTGATTAGATGAAAAGGACAGTGTTTACAGCTTACTCAGTTTAACTGCCTGTTCCTCCTGGCATCATTATAACTCACAACTTTGGCGCATGTGGTCTCCAGTGTCAGGTGTAATCCTATACTGTAGTTACCCTTGTGTGATGTGAAGTTGAGAGGTGTCGTAACCATGTAAATTCTGCAACTTTAGCTTTTGCTTTGCCAGGGGACACACAACATTGGGAGGAATCTTTAAATTGCCTAAAATTGTATGGCCACACTTAAGTTTTTGCAACCCTGTTGATAGTTGAAGTGCAGTGCTTTTGTTTTCTGCTGGCTAGACCAGTGCGGCTTTGTAGAACTTTCTTGATTTCACCCTTTCACCATCACCCACTTCTATCCATTTTCTGACTCCCTCTCTCTTTCACAGGAAATTGCTCCGTTACTTTGGCAGGAAACATGCCAATGAAGTGGTGAAGTGCTATGAACTGCTGACCATCCATCTGGGCATCATGCCAAATGAACTGGTGATCCAGCAGGCACGCAGCTTGGCCCAGCAACTCTGGGAGCCAACACGCATCCCCTTGCTTTAGGGGCCTTGACTGGTGCTCCGTTGAATTTGGCTGTTTACTTCTTTCTGGACAACATTGCATCTCAGGTCTCTGCTGATTTTACTTCAGTGGGACAGGTCTAGCTTGGACAGTGTTTTTACTTCACCTGCATTGGAAGTTCAGATTAGATCAACTTGTTCATTCATCTTCCCTCACAACATCAAAAAGCTCTGTCCCAAAACTTATCTTGGATACCAACAGTGATTCCTGTCAGAGCACAGCTACTGACAGAGCACGGGTCCTTGGTGTGAGATTGGATTGGAGAAGGTGTGATGCAGGACTTCCTTTCTTGTAACTGTATCAGAACTTTGACTCAAAAGCCCACTCGGCACAGCTTGTAAACTTATGTGTTTCATTCAGTGCCTAGTTTTCTTAGGTACTTCATTATCATTAAATATTTATCCTAAATGTGAGAAATGTAATGTACAATAATTTAGAGCAGAAAAGGTAACATTTTAGGTCTCTTACAAAATACAGAAGATAAACTACCCTCCACCACCCTGTCTAGATTTCAGGTCTCACTCTCTTATCACTCCAATTCACTTTTTTTAAAATCTTCTTTGTAAGTGTATTCATATCCAATGAAAGACTGCAACCATCCTCTGTTTTTTAAACATTTTTTTAAGAATGTCTATGGGGCACATACAGCCCTGGATTAACTATTAAGCAAAATAAGCACATGCTAAGGTCACCAACGGAAGGTGGTAGCACCACAGAGTCCCCCCCCCCAGCTCTGTCATCCCCTTAACTCTTTCACTGCCCCACTCAACTTCAATTTTTTTTTTTTTGCAATTGTCTGTAACTGCCATGTTCAACCTTAATCTGCATTGTCAAAAAATGTTTTCTTTGGCATGGTGAGTGACAGATGTTTAATAGACAAGTCTTAATGTCTTGTCACTTAAGAAATGGAAGGACCGTGGGGCACCGTTGTTGGGCTGTGCTTAGGGCATCAGTTGGCTTTAATTAGCCTGCGCACATAGAAAAGCCAGAGGTATTTTTTTTAAATGATTTTTTTTCTCAGAGGCTTTTTGTGTTGTTTTTTGTTTTTATCTTGCTTTGCAGCATGCCAGCTTCCCATTTATTTATTTTATTCCTTAAAATATAATTTCAAAACAGGTGGGCAGGGAGGTTTTCAGGTGCCAAGGAATATACCCACAAGCACCAAGTTCTCTCTCGATTTATAAATGTTTGTAAAACTTGCATACAAAAGAGACATGAACACAATGAAAATTGTGTCCATAGAAAAAGAACTGAGAATTCTCAGCCTTAACAGTTTATACCATATCAGCCTTCAATATTCTAATTATCCAATAAAGATAGAAGCAAATTGGCAAAGCTGGCTATGTTTGTGGCTAAAACAATCCAACAGCCTCTGTTATACTACTGTTTTTACAAACCAGTGATGTGAAGCCAGTTGCGGAGGGCAAGAAACATCAAGAAATTTCTTTCATTGGCCGAGGGATTATCAGAGTTCTAGTCCATCACATCTGGAGCATACTAAACTGGTGATGGCTGAACTAAATTGATTTCAGGTTTGATCCAAAGCAGCTATTTGTCTATTCTTGCCCATGTCTGCTGTTGCCATTTTTTCCCCTAAAACACGTGCATTATTTAATATCCAGACAGGCTGGTACATTTCTCTGGCTATGTCTGTTATAAAGATGAAATTTCTACCTAACATGCACCTCTTGTTTATTTTATTTTGTCTGTTTCATCTTTATCTGGAAACAGTTTTCAGTATGATAAAACATCTATCTAGAAAAAGTAGTAGTACTTCTAAGGATTACTTGTATAGGAAAGTGAGAGCCAAGGTTTATTCGAAGTTCTTGGCAGCAGATTTCTTTATTAGTAATGAATTAATTATATAGCCCTTTCTTCCACAGCTGAGTTACTGTATTCACCTGTCCTAGAGCTGGCAGAAAACTATACTGGCATATAATTCACTGTTCCCATTGCTGATCCCTATCCTGTGTCTATTGCCTCTGGGTTGGCTTGTTGCCAAACAGTGGTGTCCTGATATTGCACAGGCAGGTTGTGTTAAGCATGGCAAACTGGTGAAACCCTCTGGCTTTGCTGTCCACTCATGTTTTGGATGTCAGCAGCCAGCAGGAAAGCATTGGCAGGGAGGGGGCCTTAGGAGGCCGCAAGTCTTGACAGATAGCTGACCCACATCTGCTTTATCAAGTGCAAAACCAGATGACACACTCAGTACCAATAGAAGAGAATTCCTTAATCTCACAACACATGGACAGACTTAACCATAGTTTCAA